GAGGGAGGTCCTGCATTTGGGCTAGGAACCTACGTGAGCGGTCAGACCTGGCTGACTGCTTTTCCCAGCAGATGTCTGGAAAGTTCAGGTCACCCATGATGACCATGTCCTTTGACCTAACTACCTCCGTGAGCTGACTTAAGAATTCCTGGTCTAGCTCTTCCCCTTGGTTGGGTGGTCTGTAGTAGACAGAAAGGGTACTGGTTCACAATGATCCACATCATTTTATAATACTTACTTATTTCACCAATGGTGGGAATTCTCAAAGTAGCCTCAGGAGATTCTCCAGCTGAGTTATATGCAATAACAGATAACACATATGCTTCCCCAGGTAAGAGAAGCCTAAACTTTTTATCAGTAGTATTGTGTGTAGACCCAGTGTGGCTTGCATTGTTTTCTGGAATATACCGTATTTTGTAGCCATGAATACTCTCAGAAGATGGAAATTCTTCCAATAACTGTTTAAAAAAATAATATATAGAAGCATGTGTTTGTAGTACTCTCTATCATCAAAAGCATACTTAAAGATATAAAGCATAAATTCTACCAAGCCCCCCAACATTTTTGTTTCCTATTACTAGATCATTTTGATGTACAAATTCGCGTTAATCTGCTCTACAGTGGGCATGTCTACACAAGACATTTACTGTGGAATTTTCTAAATAGCTCCACAGTAAAGTCTCTACATCCACATGCGTGGCCCTATTAGTTGGCAGTAAATTAATAAGTGCTGCCATGGGTTCGTATTTGTAAATATAAATACTATCCTGCACTGGTGTTATTAACTGTGCAGCAACACATGTGTAAATGCTGACGGGGATGGCTGGGGCATGAGGATGCTTCAGTGCAAGGGCTGCTTGCTGGTTAGCCCCATACTGAAACAATCTCATGCCCCAACCAGCCCCTCCGCAGCTTGTTGAGCCAGGTTGGAGTGCCCTCGGCTGACAGGCTGACCCCCCAGACCTTGTGTCAGCTGGAGTTGTTCTTCACTAGGACAACATGATGTGGTCCCATTGCATGTGTAACACATGTGCAATAAACTCCAGTGCAATATGCGCTGGAATTTATTGCTTCACATTAATTGCAGGTATAGATGCACCCCATTTGCCTCATCATCTCTCAACCTACTCACAGCACTCCTGAAAAATGTGGGTTCCTGAAAAATGTAAATGGTGTTCTCATTTGAATGGCAATACATGGAATGCCCTTCCAGCTCACAGCTACTACCTAAATAATACCTCTAGAACAACTTGATGTACTACTGTTAGCAGGTACGATGAATTATTTTCTGGATAGTTTATAATGTGATGTTATATTATGTTCCAAGAACAGATTTTATTGGGTTCAGGTAAATGGCAAGTCTTAAAATACCTGTTATAATTAGAGCTGGTCAAATAACAACAGCTGATAATATCAAGTAATTTCTTCATAGAACCAGGGTTTTGAAATAAGGCAGTCAATTCATCAAGATAACTGGCTAATAAAATTATTTATTTCATGTAAATGACCGATTTAAATTAAAATAACCTCCATATTTCAGTAGCATTGGAGTGATGATGTAACCGTAATGGATGCAGCTGTCCAGGAAATGGCAAGGATTTTTGTGCGTTATATCTTTTATTGGACCAATGGTGTGGTTGGGATAGACTTACAGCATATACATTCACTCTCCCATGAGAAACTCTCCTGGGAGCATAGGCGGTGGAAGCGGGGGGTAACGGAGCTTAGCCCTCACAAATGCAGGGCAGTGGTAGGGCCACAAGGCAGCCTGGCTTCAGGCTTCCTACAAATGCAGCAGAGATGGGAAGGGGCGCATAGGCAGTGGTGAGGGAGGGAGTGGGGCTAGGGCTGGTGGAGGGGCAGGCGCTCAAGGCAGGACTAAGTCCTGAGTGGCTCATGTAGGGGGTGTGGCTCCTGCTGCTACATGCAACCTGGGAGGCATGGGGGCTGCATGCCCACAGATCTGTGTGGGACAGGGTGGGTTGCTGCTGTGGCCTGGGGCCAGGATCTTCCTAGCAGGGGCAGGCAGGACTACACTTAGAGTGGGTGGCGGTGTCGCTGGGAGGGGTCGAGTGGGCTATGGCTGCAGCACTGCAAGATTCACCATAGCCCCCCGGACCCTGCTCCCAGCACTGCCGCTGCCCGTCCACAGCACAGAATGACCCCCCCGCCAGGAAGAGCCCAGCACTGCCCCAGCCCCAGCCTGCAGAAGCAGCCTGCCCTGCGCTAATCAGGGTCACGAGCCCCCACTGCCTCCCAGGATGCATGCAGGAAACCGCCGCCCCTTCCCGCATCCCTGGATGAGTCACAGCTCTGTCCTGCACCCTGCCCCACCCCGCCCTGGCTATTAGGACCTGGTGGGACGGGTGCAGGGGTTCCAGAGGCTCTGTCCCCTCCAGCCCAGCAGTGCAGCTGAGGCTGGCCCCACTCTAGTCCCTGGCTCTGGGCACCCCTGAGTAGTGCATAGCTGGGGCCAGAACAGGGAGGCAGCCAGGGCCGGTGCAGCTGGGCCCAATGCGGAGATGCAACCAGGGCTGGGGCCAGGAGGCAGCTGGGGCCCGCACAGTGTGGTGCCAGGCAATGCTGCTCTCCCTGCGGCCCTTTCCCTTCCCCCCCAACAGTCTTTGCTGTGGGGGGGAAGGAGGAGAGCATGCGCATGTTCAGACCCCTAATTTTTTTCTTCTCCTTCCACCTATGTTTGGAAGCGATTTAGCCCTGGTTGTTCCCTGGTTATTTTTCTCTTGGAGTGGCCATTTTTACCTGGGAGAAAAAGCCTGAACATCTGTACTTTCATGGTTTCTCCTGGGGAGAGTAACAACTCTCCCAAGAGAAACTGTATGTGTGTATGAGATCTTAGACAAGCTTTCAAATGCAGTGCATTCTTCTTCAGGTCACCTGAAGAAGCTTATCCCAACCATGCAGTAGGTCAAATTAAAATGGAAGTCTAGCACCAAGTGTTATGAAAGCAAACTGTTACCTATCAGCTCCTGTCCAGGACAGTCATACTGTGACAATTTTAATGGAGAAGGTTTCAAACAAAGAAACAAAAAAAACCCTACCACATTTTCTCACATACAACATACCTCCAAAAAAGCATGCATTTTGTTTATAGAAAGTAGAATGCATAACATAAGATTTTTACAGAGTCATGGATAACTCTGTGACACAGAGTAAGTCTGCCTGGGAACACAGGGGCTGTGTCCAGATAAGCACAGATATTTAGTTCCCCGGAGACAAGTAGCTGTGGCACACCTTGCACCACAGTTACTTGTCCCCAGGGAATGTTCATGCCATGTGTGCTTTGGCACATGGCAAGTTACCCCAGGAGTGGTAGGGGAGGCTGGGGCCTGCACTGTGCTGGCCCCAGCAGCTTTACCTGTGTCCTGGGGGACTCCCAGGGCTGCAGCAGCAGTTATCAGCCAGGCTCCACCCAGCAAGACAGCCACAGTGTAACTTTGTGCATCCCAGCTCTGCTTTTCAGTGGTGTTTGCTGGGGGATATCCAGGGCAGCACACCCTTGCAGCATGGAGAACACCTAACTGTGCAATATGTGACAGTGCAGATGTGTTTATGGCACCACATACTGCATGGCCATGCTTGTCTGGATGTGCCCAGAGTGTCCAGGGAGTTTGGCATCCTAGGACAGTCTGGGATGCCATACCAGGAAGTTTCTGCTGCCTATTCCAGACTGTCTCCTGGGATGCCACATTTCTTGGACATTTTGTGTCTCCAGAAGAACTTACTTTGTATGACACAAGATTAGGCCCCAGACCCTTGCACAGGCAGTAGCAAGACTGTTAGTTCTTTTACTACAAATAGTTCTTTATATAAGTTCCTGCAAATAAAGTGTTGTTTACTCATCACAGGCCTCATCAAGATACTACCAGAAGCTCAATTGCTGCTTCTGGTACAAGCTACAGTGCTTAGCCAATAGCTACAGCTATGAGAGGTTGAACACAAGACTCTACCCCTTCAGCTGGCTGAACCAGACACAAGCACAACCGTCTTGGCAGCTGGATAACATGCACAGCGTCTCCAAGCACACTGCTTTTCCAGTGAAGAAAACAGATTCCCAGGTGGATCCAGGAGGGTACAGTGGTACAGTTGCACCCCCCTTTAATTCCTGCACCAGCCAAAGTTTAAAGCCAACTGCCTAGCAGTGGCAGCAGCACTTCTATCCAGGCAGCTAACAGCATAAGGGGAGGAGAGGGAGCGAATGAGGCAACTGCCTCACATGCCAACTTGGGAAAAAGGGAATTGGAGGAGCTGCAGCTGCAGGCAGCCACACAATCACAGTTGTGATCATGGTAGCAACCAGAAGTCACCACTGCGCCTGTGCCCTTGGCAACCACCCGCATCTCTAGTTTGCTGCAGGCAGTACTGAGGTAGTCAACTGACTTCATGGCTCA